GATCTCAGTGTCCCGTCCTGTACTCTGGATCTCCTCCCTCCTCTCTCCACATCTTCTCTACCACCAGCCTAGAACTCTCACAACAACACCCAGCCCCAGGGCCCTTCCCTCGGAGCTGTCCTGGCCTCCCTTTCAGAGATCAAGCACAGCCTGGCTCTATGTGGACTCCCTTGGGATTCATGGCCTTTATCATTATCCCAAAATAAACCTAAAGCAAAAAACCACAGCCTCTCGAGTTTCAGCTTTTCCTCCTGGAACTCTGAGCCCTGCCTGGCTGCAGGAGCATGACAAAGAGGGCATTCAGGGGCCTCTGAGTGGTGGCAACAGGGGGGCTGGTCCCTCACTGCACTTGGTGTGCACAGATACCTTGGGAGAAGCCGACCTGTTTTTCAATCTGAAGTGGAATTACTAAGGCGTGGGTTTATGGAGCCTCTGCTTGCCACTCACCAGAGGTGAAGCAGTTCTGCCTGTGTCTGGGGAGTCCACAGCCTTTGATCTTAAATTGTCTTTGATCTTAAATCCAATTACCCATGTGCCTGACTCACTCTGACCTTTGTCTCAAAACAGAGTGTTTTCTCAATGCCACCTTGGACCCTGGAGCTCTGCACGCCTCTCCTGGAATCATGTAACTGTAGTCCACAGTGCACCTGGGGATCCAGCCACAACTTCTCTCTTTGACCTCCAGAAGCCTAAAATTAGGATTCTCTAGCTTCTGTGTTTGCAAAGATGCTCAGAGGTATAATCCCTAAAACTTGACAACCTGGCCAACGGCAGTTACGAGCCACCCACCCCTCTGATTGCATTGCTGTGCTATGGACACGATCTATATTTGCTCAAAGCATCACACACGGAGCTTGGGAGAAAAGAAACATAACCAGTGGGTTCCCAGTTCCTATCAAGCACCTGTGGCCCTCACTCACCTGTAGCGATGTTTCCTTCTGTGCTGTCGCCCCCTAAGAATGGGGGCTGGGAGGGGGGACCTGGCTGGGTTTTTCACTGGTCTTTCCCAGGCGTAAGACATCAGTGCCCAGCGCTCAGCAAATATGTGTGAACAAACAGCGTACATCATAGATGAATATTTTGGGAACGTCTTTGTTAATGTGGTAATTTGGTAAAGTGATTCTCCAATTCCAAGCCCTGGTGGATTAATCATTGCACTAAATGTTTCTATTCTGACCCCAAACACTGCCCACGGTGACTGATAATGTCCCTTCCCTGGGATTTTCCTAGGGAAGGAAATGAAGTATAAAGTGGAAATGGAAGTATAAAGAACTTGTTTGTAGGAGTAGGCTGCAGGTGATCACATAACTGTAGAAATGACCTTGATCCAAAGCTTTCCAAATTGAGTTAATGATTGACCTCAATCAATTTCTGCCATGCTTCTCAATTGAGTCTCCTATTTTTTTTGATGAGGCAGAGTCACCATGAGCTAACATCTGTTGCCAATCCTCCCCTTTTTGCTAAGGAAGATTGGCCCTGATCTAACATCTGTGCCCACCTTCCTCCATTTTATATATGGGATGCCAGCACAGCATGACTTGATGAGTGGTGTGCAGATCCACACCTGGGATCCGAACCTGTGAACCCAGGGCCATTGAAGCAGAGCATACGAACTTAACGACTACACCACCAGGCCGGCCCCTGAGTCTCTCTTTTTTTTTTGGGGGGGGGGAGTCTCTCTTTTAACAGCTGGAAATACACTGTTTTATTTCTGAAATCCAAGTGGCAAGTTCGACTTATAGAAGAACTAACGTCTTTGATTCTGATGCTCAGTGTTGCATACTCCATAGACAAATAGCTAAATGTTTTAACCCTAGTGGCGTTTTCAACTGGGATAAACCCCAGTTCCCATCTTAACCAGGCACTGTTTGCTCTGCTCATGTGTAAAAAGCCCATATTTGTTCTTTCCTTCCTGTGTGTAGCCCAGACGACTGTAAGTTTACCCACATGAGTTCCTTATGGGAAAGCCCTCATTCTGATTTAAAATATTGACTTTTTATTTTTTACTTATTTTTTTTGTGAGGAAGATCAGCCCTGAGCTATCATTTGTTGCCAATCCTTCTCTTTTTGCTGAGGAAGACTGGCCCTGGGCTAACATCTGTGCCCATCTTCCTCCACTTTACATGGGACGCTGCCACAGCATGGCCTGACAAGCAGTGAGTCGGTGCACGCCTGAGATCCGAACCCCGGGCCGCCAGCAGTGGAGCTTGTGCACTTAGCTGCTACGCCAGGGGGCCGGCACCTCAACTAGACTTTTTAATCAAAAGTATGGGCGGTGCTTGGTGCTCCAGCACAGGCAGGAACTGATTAGCTTGACTCTGACTTGTGACCAGTGGGTGGAGCTTGTCACTGTACCCAGAGCTCCCACCAACCAGATCAGAACCCAGTGGTCTAGTTGCTGGAGCCATGGGCCCATTTGGTCAGTTTTCTCTTCTAGTGGATTCATGCTTCAATTCAGATTATTGGCTCAGAAGCTACTCTCGGGCTCCCAGTCCACAAGGCTGAAATCCCTCTTGCTGCCACCGCCCCCCTTAGGCAATGTTGGGCTTACTTCTAACCTTAAGTCCGTTTCCAGGTCTCATCTGGTACTTTCTCGGGGAATGTGCAGGTAAATGACCTGGAGGAAAAAAGATATGGTTTCTCGGAGCATCTAGAGAGCTGACTAATGCTTCTACCTCTTCATTTTGGTCTAGGAGGTCAAACCCTCAGATACCAAGAGATAAGTAAGTAAAACCAACCTTTTAAAAATTGTTAGTAACACCCCAGTGCTCTAAATCTTGCTGGCTGATGTCCTGGAAAGTACAAAGGGATCCCTGAAAAAATGATCAATGCCAGATCAGAAAGGGTTTTGTACCCTTACACAGGTGACCTCAAGGGTCACCAGGTCAGCCAGGTGTGAGTCATCATAGGTCCTCGCCAAAGCCCATGCTCATCCAATGAGATCCTAAAACCATCTGGTCAGTTAGGGAAATTTGAGGCCCTTTGAAGAACATGGAAGGTACTTCTTGCTGCTGACCCAACCCTGCTTCCAATTAAGGTAACTACCACCTTCTGCTCTGTCTACTCACTGCACTGTGGCAAGGGTGCCCCTTCTGAGGATGCTCTTGACACCCAGGAGGGACGGGTGGCTTAGCCTAAGGTGAGAACAATGGCCCCACTTTCTGGTGAGTGGGTGGTGAGACCTCCTCATCCAGAGGTGCTGGGAATGGAAGTCTTTATTTTCATGTAATCTGAAAACAGAAATCACCCCTTGTGTGGGCCCCTGTGGAACAACCTCACCTCGTGGTGGGGGGTGTGGCGGGACAGTGCTCCAGATCACATACACCTGACATTGTGTGTGAGTCAGGGACTTCCCTTAAACCACCACATAGATGCTATTGCTCCTACATATTGAGACCTCACTGAAGATTTCTTGCTGTTGCTGTTGTAAAGCAAACTCTGAAATTGTCACTTACCTCTCTTGATAACCACAAGGGGGTAAAGACTAGGTAGGAACATTAACCAGAGTCCCAGGTTCTTTGCACAATTTATTCAGGAAATAGCATATCTCCACACCCCTATCTCCAATTTTCCTTCTACAAAGTGCCCACGCTCCTGTTATTTCTGGCTGCATAAGCTTGGAGAACTGAAAGTTGCCCCGTTATTGAATATAAGAACTTTGGCTACAATTCGCCTTTATCACACTCCTTTTTGTTTGAAGATTAAAAATCCAGAGGGGATCATCTGACAGTAGGGTCCCAGGTGACAGCCTACCCCCCCCAAGTCTCCTTTCAATGAGGTGAAATTGCTGCACTGCTGTGGTTTCTATGCCTAGCTGTTCGGAATCACTAAGGAACTTCAGAGTTCCAAGTTTCACCTCAGTCCTGCCACTGAATCTCCAGCCATGGAGAAATCGCCAGGAATCTGCATTTTGCATGCTCCCCAGGGGATCCAGGGTTGGGACCCATTGCTTTATTGGCAGTTATTTTCCAATTGCATTTTGGCCCTGTTATTCTGACCTGGTACAACTGTGGCTGAAGAAGTCTCCGGATCAGCCTGAATAAAGCTGCCTGGGGGCCCCTTTTCCGTGGAGAAGTGACCTGCGCCTCTCTTTATTTTTCATGGAGACACAAGAGCATTTAATGCAGATATACGGCTCCCACTAGAAAGGGTCATTTATTATGTGCTTCATACTGTGGGGTCTCCCTCACTGTCATCACCCTATAGTAATCTCCTGAAGTCACCCTGCCTTCCACTGAGGCCACCGCGGGCACCATCTGCTCCTCGGAATCAAAGTAAAGCCTCTGTGTGTGTGTGTGTGTGTGTGTCTGTGTGTGGGGATGATTCACAGGCCTCCTGGCTCCCTCCACCATTCCAGTGTCAAACGTGTTCGAGATCGCGGAATCACTACAGCGTGTCTTGAGCTGGATGCGGTCTAAGTACGCGTGTGGGAGTCCGGCGTGGACGCCCGCCGTCTGGGTGTGCCGGGAGCGCCAGGGCTGGGAGAACAGCGTCGCGGTGCGTCTCCCTCGGGAGCGCCCTCCCCCCTCACCTCTGCACCTCCACCGCCGTGTTCTGTCCCCCAACCCTCCCTCCCTAACCCCCCATCCCTCCCCCCCATCCCCCGCCCGGAGCACAGCTCTGCGCTCCTCAAAGCCCTCCCACCCTTCCTCTCCCCACTCCGCCCGCCTTTGCGCCCCCTCCGCCCGGTTCTGCCCCACTATCCAGCCTAGCTCTGCAACCCCCATCCCTCCCCACCATCCCGGCTCCGCCCCCCAGCCCCCCGACCCTTCCTCTGCCCCCTCCCTTCCTCCTCGCCAGCCAGGCTCCGCCCCCTTCTCCCTCTCACCCTTCCTCCCTCCACCCTGGCTCCGCCCCAGCCCCTCCCCCCGCGGGTCCCGCCCTCACCTGCGGGCTCGCGCGGGGCGGGGCCGCCCGACAATGACAAAGCAGCGGCCTCGGCGCGGGACCCGCCCCCTGCGCTCGGCGGGTGCGTCGGCCGCCCGGCCCAGCTGTTATGGAGACGGGCGGGGCGCGCCTGCGGCGATGATGGGCGGCCATGGCCCGGGCGGGCTGCTCCAGCGGCACGGCGGCCGCGGCGGCGCGGGTGGGGGGCGCGGGGCGGCCGGAGCCGTGGGAGCTGTCCCTGGAGGAAGTGCTGAAGGCCTACGAGCAACCCATCAACGAAGAGCAGGCGTGGGCCGTGTGCTTCCAGGGCTGCCGCGGGCTGCGGGGTGCGCCGGCGGGTCGGCGGCGCATCCGGGACACGGCGGACATTCTCCTGCGCAGGGACGGCTCCGTGGGCGCGCGGCGGGAGCCCGGCGCCGCGGGT